TTGTTTGGCCATAAATTGAATAGTTACTTACTTGTTGTGGTATAGGAATACTCACAGTAAGTTTAGAACGCGGTAAAATCAACACATGAACAATATTTATTAGGAATAACATCTATGGCATATGAATTCGGATTAAAAATAAGATCGGGTCGTATTAATCATAGGTTGGTATATCTCGAAAAAGAGCATCTAATATATTAGTGTTATCGGTTATCAAAAAATATATGAAATTAACTAGATTATTAATTGATTATTGAAATAGATGGAAATGGAGAGACTCCTGAATCCAATACAAGCATTTACATTCATTAAAATCACAACTTACTTGCTTTATTAGTAGATATTAGAAGTGGTATAAACAACCACAAAATCACTATTTTGCTGTCACTACTCACTCGAATTTAATACTAACTATTGAACTACATTTTAAACCTTATTTCTCATGTGAACGATGAACTCGAAACTCACTATTTATATTACTTGTACAACGATCTTATACGCTTACGGGTTTCAACGTAACATTTAATTTATCTTCATTGAGAATAGTCTTTTAATCTATTGGACACTGGGTATCTTGGAGTGACGATGTAGTGCATCATAGCTACCGTTGGGCGGATTTGCTATATATAACTTTTGGGTAAAGATATTGCTAATTGTGGTGTGAAGGCGCTCTTGATCATGGCTTAATTATAACATTTACTTTTCAAGACAATTAATATAAGTAGTATACTTTGTGACATTAGAATATTTGATCAACTTGAAATACCCGTACTAACTTAGAATCAAGAATAATTCTCGGCCCTTTAAATTTGAATGGGGTCCCCATGTTACCAAGTCCAAACTTGCATTAATTGATATCAGAAAAGAAAATTCGTTCAATTGATAATAATACTGAAAGAAGTACTTTTCTCAACTTTCTTGTTTTGAATTTCTTGTACTTTAAATCCCTGTCTTTAATTGATACTCTTAAGACATAAAATTAACTAACTAAAATAAATTAAAAAGGGTAGATCTTGAAGCAATGAAACTGAATGAGGCGATTATATAAATAATATCCATGTTGCAGATAAAATTTAAATGAATCGTGTTCAATTTTTAATTGAAATGATTCCATATAGGATCAGAGCATGCGATGCGATGGTGCGAATTTTAATTTTCGAACTACCTATTTATGAAAATCATGCACGTATCAGATAATTGTGGAGAAAATAAATTGAACCTGTATTAAGATATATGTAATAAATTTATTTCATCTTCAAATGTTAAAACTTTTTATTAAGAGAATTTTTCCCTAATTCAACACTGACATAACTTCTCTCGTCTCTAGAAGAGCCCACTTCTACAATTGGGACAGGAATTTGTAGAAACCAGAGCCCATAAAGAGTTATTAACATATGGCCCAAAATACTTGGTCAGCATAAAGGGAAAAATTCACAATTCAAGTGTATGATTTACACCAATTCAAAAAACAGGTATATAGTTTAAAAATTCAAAATTCAGGTATTTGGTAATTAATTAAAAATATTCATTAATTAAATATAATTAGGTCACAATTATAAAATTAATGGTCACAATTTTATTCATAAGTCACAGATTTTCAAATTAATTGGTCAAAATTTATTCTTCGGTCACATATTTCAAAATTAATTGGTCACAGATTATTGAATGGTCACAGATCAAAAAAATTGTAGATCACATGGTCACATATTTCCAAATTAGTTGGTCACATATTCTTACATGGTCACAGATTATATAATTTTTAGGTCACATATAACAAAATGATTGGTTACAGATTAACCAACACCTCCCTTTCACCTTCGATCCTCATCCACCGCCTTGACCGCTCACCACTAAGCCCAAACCAACCACTGTGCCCAAGCCAACCACCACCTCCATCAACAAAAATCACCACCACTGTCACCGCCAACAAATCCTGTCAGATCCACCACCAACACACCACACCACAGCCACTGCTACCACTAGGCCACTTTTGACCCCCTCACCCTCACCCCGACACCACCACTGCCACACAATAGCCATTTGCGACCATTACCTTACCACAACCAACAGTGTCAAATCCACCACCTCACCACCGCCAAAATCCACCACTAACATCTCCAGATCCACATACACCATTGACAACAAAAAAATCTCAAAAACCACCTCCATCACCATCCCTCAAAACTGCAGATCCACAACAAAAAAACCAGTGAAAGTGACTCGATTAGAATTGCTGGGAAGAGAGGATTTTCAGAGATTTTAGATTTGAAACTCAACCTTCGGTCCAAGCAATTTGAACTCCTCTGACCAGCAATATGGATTGAGGGTGGTGATGGGTTTGGGCGATGACGACGAGCGACGGCGACAAGAGGGAGGCAATGAGTTGGTTTAGAGAGAGAGAACGTGAGAGGGAAGGGGAGGGGAGAGGATGCGCGAGAGAGAGATAGAGAGGGGTGAGGGCATTGAGAGTGATAAATTAGGGTTAGGGTTTTAATATATTACCTGGTTTTTGAATAAATAAACATTGGACCTGATTTTTAAAAAGTCATCTTTAAACCCCTGATTTTTTATAGAGGAAATTACACCTACACCTACTTTTAGATTTCCATTTTCATAAATCCTATTATAAATTTAATTTTTCAATTATCAGGTTTTTATATTTAATTAATATTAATTATATAATTTTCGATCCAATTAAAATCACCAAAATCAAACCCTAAAATTCATTTCATCTTCCATCCCATTCTCTCTCCTCCCTCCCATTTGTCTCCTCCCCGTCGCTGTGGCCAGACAACGCCGCCTAAGGTCCTACCACTCGCCGGCGAAGTAAGGGAACTAGCCTATCTGCTCCTGGCCGAC